ACGTCTGCGACGAGCTCGAGGGTGACGGTTGGTCGAACGCCATTTGATATCCGCCACGCGTACACACGGGAAGTATACGGCGGAAGTTTATTTCCCGGCGACGCGTAAAGGATCGGGTAGTGGTAAAGTCAGGAATTCATCCCGGCAAAAAGATAATGCGTCTTCCGAAACGCGAATGATATAGAACGCTGCGAACAAAGTTCTGCCGTTTCCGAACAAAAGAATGCTATTAAAGGCGGCCGAGAATATTAATATTATAGGACGTAAACAGTTTTCCGAGCTCGAAAACGGAGATGTTGTTTAAACGAGGCGCGAGAGTTCTGTAAACGGTAATATTAATGATTTCCCGGAAACGTTTAAAGTTGTTGCTCTCGCCAAAGCCTCCGCCCGCCAACAGCCCCGTTCGTCGGCTATTGTGTTTCGAGTTCCCGCAGTTTCCGTTTTACCGACATGATATTATACGTTTCGGGTTTTTTTTTTTTTTTTGTGTACGGCCGCGTCCGGATTAAACTCGCCCCCGGTTCGGTGTTTCGATCCCCCCACAACACCCCTCCTACTCCCACCCCCGGCAAAACGTTGTTCTCGCGCGATCCCGAAAACAATACATTCCCGCGCGTCGGCAACAGCACGCGCATAACGCGTTGTCACATTTTTCCGGACGCGGGCGCTGCCCCCGCGTTCGTCTACGACGTACGTCGCGCCGGCAACCGCATCACGCGGCTGTAGCGACGCGTCTCGGACCCCGGTAACTACAAACCGATACACGCACGCACGCACGCGCACACATGTATATAAATGCGGCCGACGTACGCGCGCACAATAATGTGTGGCGGGCACGTTGTGCCGTGCAAAACGCGAGGTTTTTTTGAAAAATCGCCACGGCCAATTTCAAGGTTGACTGGCCGCGGCGAACACGAGGAGTTGATTTGGCCGAAAAAAAAAACCGCCGCCGTCGACTGCATCGTGACACCGTCGCCGTTCTAAATGTCCACGTTTTCATTCGCGTGCGTCGCGAAATTCGCGCGGCCCGGTAAACCGCAACCGTTTCGGCGCGTCGAAACGATAACGCGACGCGTCACAGTGGCGAACGCCACGCCGCAGGTGTATGGCGACGCCACGCGGCCGGACACGGGGCACACGGCGTGTTTCGGGTTCGGTTCGACTTCGCGGGCGAACGGCGTGTATTTTGTGTCTCTCACCGGGCCCGGTCGTCCCGGTAACCGATTGGGTGATGATTTTTTTTTTTTTTTTATTATTATTATTAACCATTCTCATTTGTTACGTACTCTCCGATAATAACGGGACCGCCGGCCGCGCGCTCGGAAACGAGATTGCAAACCAAAGACGATAAAACGCGCCGAATAATTGCACCGCGGCCGCGTTTACAACGCGGATACTGTACGTTACATAGGCGTGTTTCAGCGCACAACCAAACGTAACCCGGTTACTGTAACTTTATAAACGAGTCGTTCCGGCAATTTCGGTTATGACTTTTGGTCGCGGGATACTGCACGAAATATCATAATGAACTGCAAACGAAACGAACGATTGTGATGTTTGGTTATTGATAAAGTAATGATTAGATAATGTCTAGCCAGTACTTATTTTTTTTTTTATTACCTATCAATGTTAATGTTATTCGTAATAACCATAAACATGTCGTTTTCGCGAATCTATAACCATTATATCTATGATAATGAACATTACCAAGTTAATCTCCAAAGTTATCTTATAATATAGTCGGAAGACACGCTAAACTAGACGCAGTTCTCCAGACACAGTGACGGATTTGGTTCGTCTTCTGAGGGGGGGGGGGAGAGGCTAATATCTCTTTGGTCCAAAAATTATACTTTTTAACCGACACGACCCGACGGTAGTCAGTCAATTTGACTAGTGACCGCTTAATGTGATAGCACAACTATATGTATCTGCAGAGACCGTGATTATGATTTATTAACATTCTGAAAATTCTATACAGATTCCTGAAAGAAATTATTATAAATTTATAGGTAGTTATATTTATGGGCATGGCTTCTATTTCCCCCCCTCCCACTTAAACGACGCGCCTACAAAGAAAATTGAGGTGTCAGTGGCGTGCCCAAGTGTTTACAAATACAGGAGATTTGGTAATAAAAAGACGTCGTAAGACAATGGGGACGTGTGCAGCCTTTGTTATAGATAATTTAATATATACCTGTGAGCAATGATAAACCACTGCTTACGAAAAAACGATTCTAAGCAGAGTTCAGTTGACAGTGATGCTTTGTCAACAATATATATGTCATTTTACAATAAAATAATTAAATAGATTTTATATATTTTCTATAGTGATATTTGTTTAAAGTTTTACCGATTTCCCGATTTCCCTACGTTTTTCCCGGTTTTTCCATGTTTTATCCGGGTTTTTCACATTTGCTGGGAAAAATCTCGGAAAAATCAAAAAAATTACCTCTCTAAACTTACCTACTTAGTGAAATTTCCTTTTAGAAATATTGCTATCATTAAAAGTTGGAGCAAAATTGCTGGTAGAAAAGTTGTCCACAGAAAAAATTTGTAAATTATGTTTATTATAATTCGTATATTTTCTCGTTTTCCTCCCAATCGTTTACTTCCAGTTTTTCCATCCATCGTTTTTTTGCTCTGCTTCTGGTCATTTTTTCCGTTGGTTGCCACTCGAAGTAACACTCCTTAACTTTATCGGTTACTCCTCTTCTCATTATTTCCTCAAACCGCTGAATTCTCGGTGATTTTTCTATGTCTAAATAAAACTGTCAGTTATACTAACAGAACGTATCGTTTAGCGGCAAACCAAATTTTCTTCCGAATAATTAATAAAAGTTCTTTTTTTGTTTATTTTGAAAGCGCATTTCACCCGTCGATTTGACGACGGGCGTTTTAATTTTCTAACTCTATAGTTTTCGCCTACCTATACTGACCGAACGTGAACCCAAATCAAATTTGAAGTTTCAGACGTTTTCAACGCCGAACAATAATAATTACTGCGTTCTGTATATTTTATTATTATAACGTACAATATTGCGAACGAGCGGGGTGGAAATTAGCAAATATTGTTTTAATACGATGGTTTTAATTATTATTGTTTTCCGTGCGCGTTTCGAAGTCAGCCGAGCTTGCAGAGCAAGTTTGTGAAATTTATTATTCACGGTTCGCTTCGATATTAACAAAATTAAAATCGCTTGATAACATTATTATTATACAGTCACCGAATAAGTTTTGTTTCCCCGGAGGCCGCTGAAAATAATATGTTTCGTAAGACGCGCGTAGCCTGTAGTTGCCGTCATTGATTTTATTAATTTTGGTTTTTTTTTTTCGTGTACGGAGTTTTATTATTATTTCGAATTCGTTAATACCCGGTCCGCGCCTGGACGACAATTTTACTGTCGTGATAGTTGTGCAACTCACGAACGTCATAGTGTCATACTATCGAATAAGCGACTATGGCCGTGTGAACAATACTACGACGACGGGCGCTATTTATCGAACTATCGCGAAACTATCACACAATCGTTGCATGCACGGTAGTCGACATCGCAGCGTACAGAATTTTATGTTGCATCGATTTTCTCCTATAAATGTCAAATGTTATAGAATAATCCGTATAATGAAATATTTTTTATTAATTAGTGTAATGTAAAATTATTTATGGATTTGAAATTTGCCAGAACTCTATAGGAACCGAGTATCTACCTATATAAAACGATATGTTTGTATACATGTGTATAGTATTTTATTGTCCTTCACACAGCGTCTCGTAATGTTATATATTTATTATAATGTAATAATATATATATTTTGTTATAAATACATAATAACCCGTAATATTATATATTATTTCGAGAAAATTATTTTTCGCGGACGATTTCGTTTTTGCAGTGGCTATATATTAAATTTTTCACCGGAGGAGACCATGATCAATTGATTTCAAACAATATGTGTGTATATATATCTATATAAATATATATATATATATCGAGGGGTTTTTTTTTAGCGCTTTTATCAAAATGCTTTTGTTTAAAATTTAATTTTTTTTTCGGTTCGCTGCCGCAGAATGTACCCACCACAGAGTACGATGTACAGGTATAGGTATTTAGGTATAGGTAGTTAGGATGAATGATGCGTATTATTATACGGGTATATATAGAAACGTTTCATCTGAACAGAGCGCGTAAGAATAATAATTTCCAGATATTATTTTTTTCCATTGTGTTATTGAAAGAATAAAAAAAAAAAAAAAATAATAAAAAAATAAAAATATTTTATATATATATATACATTTTTATATACTCTTTGACAGTCTACTGACCGGACCCCGTTGACTTTGTTGAACTCTACACAAAATATAATATTAAGTTTTTATGTAATACATATATATAGTTATACGTCATATTATACACAGAGTGATTCACCTTTTATCGTAGAACCGGCGATTATCCGAGGCTGCGGGATCAAGTTTAGGACCAACGACACAATATTATTAACGCGTGCATGTACAACCGAATTTCGCTACGAATATCATTTTTCGTTATCGATGGTTTATCGTTGATACCGGGTGTAAATTAACTCTATGTATCTCGCCTTCCCGACTATCCGCCTACAACAGTTGCCGCGCACCCGTCCCCAGTATCAGCTGTTTTGTTTTTTTTTTTTTTTTAATAATATTTTATATTATAAAATCATAAAAACTAACATTACTCGCCAAGCGTCATGATATAGCTGCACGTTGGGATTCACGTATATGAATAGGGTCCACATCAGTATCAGATCTTTGTTTTCAATCGGCTTTAACGATTTATTGTTGCTCACAGATATAATTCAAATAATTTTAATAGGTGCTTAACGTATCCTACCTTTCAATGACGTTTGGAGGTTAAAATTTAGGAAGGGCGGGCAGAACAGCCTTAATTTTTATTGATAATCAAACACTTTTATTAATGTGTTTTATATTATAAAATGATATACAATTTTACACTTATAAGTAACTAATCGACCAAAAATTCCAATATTCTTTTATTTTTCCCAAATGCATCAACAATTTTTTCTGCTAAATTGAGTTCATCGACTTTTTTCCTACGTAAAATTAACATACATAATCCGGATAAACGAATCTCATACATTAGATAACCGCGCAAGTTGGCCGTCCACAAATGATTGGCTGTAGTAATTGATATCAACTTCAAATCATCGAGCATTGTATATTGTGATAATAAATTTCCGGAATTCTATTAACACGAAGTATGACCTTCCAACTAGGTAACAATCAAGGTGTATTGACGAATACATCTCGGTACCTGGAATAATGAATTTTGGGATTTTGAGATATTTAAATTCGGATATAACTGTTTTAACTGGCCGGAAAGCCAGAGGGGAGTCGTCTCCCCTTTGTCAGCTCCCTCGCTACCTTTCCGATTTCGCACCTAAAAAAACAGAACATCCATACCTCGTCTCAGTTATTCGATTTCGGCTAACCGCGCGTCGGATACTGTTACCTAGCGGCACATTAAAAGAACGCTCAACACGCGTTGCAAGGTCAAAACGCGATCCGCAATTCAAAAATCCGACTACGCAAACATTTTCATCGGAAACGATCCGATTCGCCGATACGTCGATCAAACATTTCTCCCCACTCCCTGCCCGTAAATCCGCGGGCAGTGAGCTGATGATCTCTACGGAAATCTAAGGTGGGCAATACGAAAATGCGTGCGTTTTAATCATTGCCGGGTGGGGTGGTTTATGCGCTGCGACACGGACGCGTAACACGAGCAGTACTCTATATACCGCGAGAAATGAAAAAAGGCAAAAAAAAAATGAAATAGGAATTCGACTAGACACACACATAGCGCGTTATACGTGGATACGTATCAATACCGTATCCTCGGTCGTCGGACACCCCGTATACGTATCACGGATACGCGTACAGATTTGTGTGTCACCTATACGCGCGCGCGCGCACACACACACACACGCATACATACGCGCCGGAGAATTTTTACAGTAATATTACATATTGTAAAGTACCTGTATTATTATTATACAACAAGTACGCATAGAGGTACTTACACTGTACATATTGTATGTATAACGTATATATAGAGTATACATATATATACGTTATGTTATAAAGAGGCGGCGACAAACGCGCGGCGGGAGCTGCGGAGATGACAAATATGAAATAATATAATAAACACACGTACCAAAAAATATAATGTTTTACGAGTGTGTGTGTGTGTGTGTGTGTGTGTGTGTGTGTGTGTGTGCAGCACAATAATACAATAATACGTATTATAACGTGTTGCATAACGGGTCGCACGGACACGAACCGATCAAATTTTTTTTTTTTTTTTTTTGTGTGTGTAAGTACACGTACGCGATGACGACGGTAATAAATATAATTCGTGTATAGGCTCGGCGGACACCGCGGTAATACTCGGGCGGGATACAAGAGCGTGCGGGAAGGAAAGAGAGAGAGAGAGAGAGAGAGAGCGAGAGATAGAGACACGCGCGCACAGAGTGAGAAATAAAGAGCCGGTGCCGGATATAAAATGATGCGCTACGACGACGACGATCCGGACGTGAACTTAAAGCAATCTGGATTTCAATCGACAACGGTCGGCGATGCAGCGATAAACAATTACGGCGAATGAACCGTCGAAAACTTCGTCCCCTCTACCCGCGAGTGGGGACAGCTATGGAAATTTGAATAGCTCCGGACTGCCGGAAAAGCTTGCGACTCGCGTGCGGCGTCCGAACAGTGCGCGGACAGCACGATTTCGTCGGCGCAGTGCGCAATGAAATCCTAAACGGTTTGGAAAAAAACGCGCCGTCCACGGGAAAACAAGGTCCCGGTAACGGATCGCCCGGGTGACGGCGAGTTGTCCGTGCGCCAGTTGCGCGCCGGGTGCAAAGTTCCGAGACGGAACACACGAAACTGGGACACAGCGCGAGAACATTGCGTGTTGTGGGGGGGGGCGGCGGAACGCGTTCTCGACATTCGGCCGCGCGATATTCCGGGTGGGCGGAAAACGGACCGTGTTTTCGGATGTGCCGCTAAAACGTTAGACAGACAACTCGCGTCGTCGCGAGTGTCCGGCGTTGAGAAAATCAAAACCTCGTACCCGCCGGACTCTGTAGGTCCGAAACGCGCGACCACGAGAAAGGCCTCCGTCCGTCTTCGCGCTCGGAAACTACATAAAAAAAAAAATAATAATAATGATAATAACGCCGCCGCCGACGACAATCGGGCGCCGATCGCGCGCGCGCGTATTATTGTCGCCGCACACACTCGATCCGCGTTACGCATTGTTGTGCCGACGTCGGCGCTGCGTGACCGTACGCCGGCCGCCGTACGGTCGACCATTGTACGGAGTGCCTACGCGTCCGCAGCCGACGGCGCGCGGGACCGTGGACGCGAGTCACAACAGTCGAGGCGCGATCCGCGAAATCGGCATTCGCGTGTCCGTACGCGGTCGTGTGCCGCGGCCCGTTGTCGGGCCGTAATCGATTTTCGGCCGGCGCTCGGTCGGGTAGAGGCGTTCGCGTTGACGCCGCGTGCGGGTCCCGCGGAACGCGAACGTCGTCGAAACGGGTCCCAGACTAATTTCGGTCGTCGCGAATCGAGCCCAACGATGCGTTATCCGTACCGTATCGCGTATCGTTATTAACACCCGACGACGATAATAATAATAATATTACGATCGGATTGAATCGGGGGGGGGGGGAAGGGGGGAGATGCAAGACGCATCGTCACGCTACCGGGGACCCGGTACCGCAGGCGTATTCGTGACTTTTTTTATTTTCGTTAACGCCCACGTCGAGGCTCGTCTTTGTCGTCGAAATTCGACGTGTTATTATTACACGTTTTATTTCGTATTTTTTTTTTTTTTTTTTTTTTTTTGTCGCTTACCGTCCTTTTTGGCTTACAATTTTTTTATCTCTATGCGGTGAGATCCCACAATCTACAATGTTTTGTCCCGGGTTAATTTATTTTCCTGTAAATGATATTACCACAAACTCATTTTTCATTGGCGGATGAAGGGATGGTACATCCCCTTAGTTTGTGCCCCCCTCAGCACCGGCCTTGGAAGCGCGAATGTGCGCAGTACATTCTTCACTGTTTTAATACTTTTTTCAAATAAAATAAACATTTTTTTAGGTCATTATTTTAACATTTTTTTTCGAGATTTCTTAATCATTTATTATTATTAAATACTTAGTAACAGTACGAAACCTGCAGCGGAAAGCAATAGTGGAAAAAGAACAGCTTCTATAAGGAAACAGATGACCGAGCACAGTGGCGGCTATTCTCAAAAGAATATATAACGTGTAACTCAGGATATTTTTGAGCACACACCCGCCCAGCTTCATAGGATATAATACGAGTCATACAGTGGCAGCTCAAGGTACCTGGGCTGCCCCTGTAATTTTTTAATGCGCCCGTCAACCGAGTTTTAAAACAAATAAATTATAACTTTTATTTTTAAAAAAAATAATGCCTTTTTAAGCGTCTTTATAAAGATATGTTTAAACAAATTATGTCGCATTGCCTCTGACCATTTATAACCATTATCGTTATTGCAATACATAATAACATGTATGCGGGCAACTGTTACTATTTACATGAATTAATTTTAAAACTATTGATGGCAAATAATTATCGTAGAGTACGTACGGTTCGTTGACTTGACGCTGAGTGGATGGTTAGGTCTACCGTCCGACTTTGAAAAAACCTATTGTTAAAATGACGCGAACACGGATTTTATTTTTTGCCACTAATATGATTAACACCTATATGATACTCCTGTTGATTCATTCACTCTTTATATTATGACTGTACGCTTTATCCTTGCAATGAATTGGATACGATGAAATTTCTTCTTCGAATACTTAATGAAACAAAATATACTCAGTTTTTATTATAGATATTATTTTTGTAAAATTTAAAATATGTAATTATTGTTTTAATAAAATAAAGTTGCGTAGGTATAGGCAATAGGTAATTTTCGTTTCGTTTGTAATTGAGACAAAATAAGTGATACTAAATATTTTGTTTCACCGAGTTGATGAAAAAAATTGCTCACTATCAAATTTCAGTATCAGTTTCGTGAAATAATACATTTTTGTTATTTATATTTATTCAAACCATCGCATTTCCCATCCATCCCAGGGTAAGACGGAACAACTATATTCTAGAGGTGAAAATTCGTTTGAGCGCATATTAATGTATTTTTTAAATGTACGACAACTCGTTTGCGTACAAAATCGTGAACAATGGAAACCTACTTGTAAGCACAGTTTTGGGTGTACAAGGTGTTTTAAAATAGAACGAATATTTTCAATCGTGTTTTCCCATCAGTTGTCATCAATTTTATATCCCCCCCCCAATCATCACATTCACCAAATTATTAAAATACTAATGGAAATTCAAGGTCGATACTGTTTTAAAAATGAATTCATTAAAAAATTAATACAGTGGAACCTCGATAACTCGAACCTCTATAAGTCGAATTTTCGATAACTCGAATTTTTTTTTCGCCCTCAACCGATTCGAGTTATCGAGATTCCACTGTAATTTGTAATATGTAACTTGTAACTTTTAGGTTATACCTGGTTACTCTGAATAAAAATATGTAAGTCACCCATAACAAATTAGCATGACATATAGGTACTTATAAAGTAAAACAGACATACTTTTTAATTTTAAAATTAATTTAAAGTTAATTTATATTGTCTGATAATTTGATATGCAATCAGTTTCTTAATTATTTAAAAATATATTGTTATAATAATATTTGAAAATAAATTCGATGAAGTGGAATGGCGATAGAATATTCAACAAAATGACACTGCAGTGACGAAACAGGATACGATCGGATTCAGTGCACTACACTCTGTGTAATTATACCCGACTAGTCGTTTGCGAATACCCGGCGACGAATTTTACGTGACTATTGTGACAATATTCGGTAGGTAAGTAAACAGTAATCCGTTTTACTAATCCTATTTCATTGGATGAAAATTTAATTTATACGCGTCCCAGCGATATTTCTCTGGTATAACAAAGATGGTATCATATTTGAATTCAACAACAATTGCTAATCGAATTCTCTACTATAAAATTATAATTTTTTTTTTTTTTTTTTAATTTGAGCGTTATATGCCGTCTATAGGAAAATCGTCAGCGTCGGACATGAAT